GCCTTAACCTGCACTGAGCTCACCTGCTGAGCATTCTACCTGTTAAAAGAGGAACATTTTATGAATACACCATAAGTATAAGAAGCATAAGAGCACAGTGCTTTTCAGTTTAAATGTTATTTAATAAGTATGTGTTTTTCTTCCTCCTCTTTGAATTCAAGTAAACAGTAAGGTCCCACAATACACATCATGGTATACAATAACAGTCAAGGTTAGAAGACAATCCATATTTTACCTTTAAAATATACAAGAATGAACCAAACAACAAGTACCTGTGCTGAACTCCCATGAAAAGAGTACAGTACTGTGACCCCTAAATAAACCATTTCTGCCCAAGAGTCTCAGCAGTGTCACCTGGTGGACAGGTAAGGTAAAAACAGGCACTGCAGTAGGATACAGTCCAGGGACTTGGATCAAATTCTTATGATAATGTCACACTGCTGCTATTTTCCTCAAAGTGCCTGCAATGGACACTGCACTTCTGCCAGCAATACACTGCCGAGAGCCACTCAGGATTACTGCTGGGGTTTACAGAGCCGGACACTGCTGTCCGTCCACCTCTGGCCAAAGATGCCACAGGCTCATCGTTAATCACAGTTAAGAATCAAAGGTATGATAAAGTAAAAAAATAAAAAAAGCAAAATCAAAACAGCAGATTCTAGAGCATGGGGACTGGTTTGTCTGTGTTAATTTACAATTAAGAGAAAAAACACAACATTTTGAATCCTCAGGAAGTGCCGCACCTTGAAGTCCTGGTCAGTAAAACGGGTTTGTTGATTCTGTCTGTTGAACAGACGGTAACTCTTCCTCCAGAAGAACGGGCCAATCTTCCACACGACAGCCTTGTCGCCCTGCGTCGGCCCGTCTGTACGGGTCTTCAGCAGCCCTAAAGACCCGGCCCCTGCTGGGTCAAGACAGCAGGCCTGGTGTGGGGGCCGCAGCTGGATCAGAACCACACAGATCGAGTCCAGCTCCGCTCTCTGGGCAAGCGCTGGGGCTCGTGAAGGCCTCCCCAATGCCTGCGACGTGCTCACCTTTCCGACAGCCTCGTCTTCGCGGTCTCGGTGAACTGATTTCTCCGAGACTCAGCGGCGTGGCGGCAGTCTGTCGGCCCGTCAGCCCTGTCACGGGTGGCGAGTATAATCAGCGCTTGTGAGAAGGATGACGGGGCGTGTTGTTCTGCAAGGTGCTCTTGTGTTTCCGGTCGTCGGTGGTCATGGGTTTCAGTGTCCGTCCAGGAGCAGCTTCAGTCACCACCTCTGCGTCCGGCTGGAGCAGAATCGGGACTGCCGCCACTGAGAACTGGATCAGTTCTGCTCAGCCCTACACACTGCCCTGCCCATCGGTCCCCTCCCCCTGTCCTCCCCCCCCCCACTCTCTGACCCCTCCCTCTGTCCTTGCCCACAGTCCCCACCCACAGCCCCCCGCTCTCTGTCTCTACCCACAGCCTTCCCCAACACTCTGTGGTATCTCCCCTCCTCCATCTCCACAGAGGGTGCTGTCTCCCCTCCTCCATCTCCACACAGCGTGCTGTCTCTCCCCTCCCTCCCTCCATCTCCACACAGCGTGCTGTCTCCCCTCCCTCCCTCCATCTCCACACAGCGTGCTGTCTCCCCTCCCTCCCGGTGCCCCAGTGCCAGTCTGTGCGCTATAGCTCCGAGCGGGAGCGAGAGATGCGCGGCCCCTTCCTGATCTCTTTCCTCTTCTCCTCTTTCCTCCGGCGCTTCTCCTCCTCCCTCAGCACCCTCTGGAAGGCCTCGGCCGTGTGCAGGACCTGCAAGAGGGAGCGAGCGTCACACCGTCACAGCTCCCCGCCCCCGAGCGTCACACCGTCACAGATCCCCCGTCCCCGAGCGTCACACACAGGGCAGAACTCAGGACAAGGTCTCTCTCAGTGTGTGGTGCAGTGTGCACACGCGTCTGTACTGTTCCAGCGGTCTCTCTCAGTGTGCACACGCGTCTGTACTGTTCACGCGGTCTCTCTCAGTGTGCACACGTGTGTGTAGTGTTCAAGCGGTCTCTCTCAGTGTGCAGGGCAGTGTGCACGAATGTCTGTGGTCGGTCCTGTGCACGTGGTCTCTCCAGTATATCCAGTATTCTGCTGCCTCTCTCAATACTGACCAGTGCAATGTGGACAATATCCAAATATGTAAGCAGTTTCTGGTGTGTACAGTGTGTATGGTGTGTACACAGTGTGTGCAAGGTGTGCAGTTTGTGTGTAGTGTTCTTGTCGTCTCTCTCAGTCTAGTAGGGACCAGGGCTCTCCACAGCCTGCACAATGTGTGTCCTGTACTCACATCGTCTCTCTCGGTGCGGTAGGGGTTGGTAAAGTCAGGAGACTTCTCGATGATGCCCAGCTCCTGAGCCATCTGAAACA